AATTCATGTATAATGCAATTGAAAATGCTAAAAAATAAATAAAAATCAAGGCATATCAAGTAATTTAAAAATGGGTTAAAGCTCGTTATCTTAGGTCTTTTGAAACACACAATTAGTCAAAAATCGAATATATATTTATAGAAATCATTAGGAAAATATGCCTAAAAAGTTGCATTATCAACTATTATCAGTTTCAAGACAAATTGAGTAGTCACTATCAGCCTTCGATAGATAGCCAACCTCATCTTCATATTTTTCACCCATGGATAGAATAAATTTTACACCTTATGATTGTATATTTCTATTCCCAACTGTCTAATTATTTTTATTATCGACTATGAACTTAAATCCTCCATTTCTAATTACATAATTCCAATGTATTTACCCCATATATGAAGGCAAACCTCACTAAACACAATATGCCAAGAAAATGAACATCGATCATATTGAATGAAATTTTATCCTCCCTTTCATATATCTCGAAGAAGGGGATTGAAAAATCTTACCTTCATAAAGTAGAGTCATCGTAACATCATACAATTGAATGGCCTGACACCTATAATGCGGAACAACTTTTTAAATATGAAGCGGAAAAAAGAAAAAAAAAAACACTAGTATGTAATGACAAACTACTATAAACATGGATTTGTAATTCAAACACATAGACAACACCACATATCATAGACTATGACATAATACTAATAATAATAATAATAATAATAATAATAATAATAATAATAATAATAATAATAATAGCTATGGTCGACATTATTACAATAAAATGACACACATAAACATTAGCATATGCCCAAAAAAAGTAGGGTTATTTTATTTTATTGAAAGAAATGTTTTCTTTGTATTCACATAATAAAGTTGTTGACACTTGTTCACAGCCGTGCCAATGATTGTTTATGGGAAGTTGCTGAAAAAGATAAGGGAGACGATGAAGGTCTATAGAGAGAGAAGGAAGTTGGAATTTTACAATGTTTGTTATTGTCCGATCTTGATTAAGGTTCTTTGGGGGAGTATGCATCAATTGTGCAAGATGATTTGATTGTGGAAACTGTTATTTGCAATTTAGTCCGACTGAATAAAAATGAAGATACTAAATTTGCAATATAGTTTAATTAGATTATATATATTTTGGGAAAAAAAAATTATATATTTATTTTATTATTTTTTTTTCACATATACACCGACATTACTAAGCTTGGGTGTCCACATTATCTTTGGAGTGTCTAATTCACATCAGTCAAACCGCATTATCGCGCGTGTTCCACACGTGCCTATTTGCAATGTTAATTGAATATAAACTATAATCTAAACATTCTTATAAAATTCAAAGTTTTTTAAATAATGTACAAAAGTGAAAATGAAATTCAATTTTAAAACAAAACTTACAATTTTTATGTTGAAAATAAAATGAAACACACAATCATGAAATTAGGTAAATGAATTTCATCCAAAGCCGACAAAAATTAATCTGACGCGATATAATTAAGCTTGGGTCAATAATTTAGACCATGTAAATATTATATAAATGAGTCAATACGAATCCAAACAGATTAAGTTATGGTTGATAAAATGATATGGAACCCGACACGAAAATTCAATTATAATTAGTATTAATTAGTTAGTTTATTATATATAAAAATAATTTTAATTTGATAATTAGCCTATATATAATTTGAATTTAAATAAATTAACCAAATTCACTTAATATATTACTCTCTCCGTCCCATATAATATGAGTGTATTACTGTAGATGCGATAATAGTAAAGTATAATTAATAAGTAATTAAGAATAGTATTAGTAAAAATAATTATAGATTAAGATTAAAATAACTAAATAATTTAATTAAAATTAAAAAATATAAAATTTAAAATTTAAAATATGATTAAAGTGTATAATTATATTTTCAAAAAAAAAAAGGACAAATTATGTGGAACGAACGAAAATAAAAAATAAAGACAAATTATATCGGACAAAAGAAGTATATTAAAACCGACAAAAACAAACAAGATACAATAATTCGGTACAAAATAATTGAGATTTAGTTAAATATTTCGATTCAATTATGCATATGAATCAACACAAATATAATATAATAATAAAATAATAAAATATCAAATTAAGATTGAATACTTTCACCTATTTTAAAGTATTCAATATGATACGAATCAATCAATATTCAGATTTATTCCCATCCACGAGGATGTACGGCTAGTTGAAACGTGGAGTACGTACACCGGAAGCAGGAGATTGCATTGGATGCTGACACGTGGCCAGGGCTATGGTACTCTGCCGAGTTATAATTTAGTAATCATTGGTTTTATAAATGGATTTTTTAATGCTAATTATGGGGTTAGTGCACTTTTATATCATCAGATTGAACCCCAAATTTATAATAATAACAGCCTATTATTTTTACTTCTGCAGAATAAAGCAAGAGGGGGCAATGTCAGTTTTATTTTTTCAGCTCAAAATATAATTTTATGCAATCGAAACACACACATATATATATATATATACACACACATACACGAACTAATATGCTCTGTAAAATTCTAAAATAAAAAAAAAATAGTAATATATATATATATATAGGCAGGGATGTCAAAGCGAGTGAGCCCCGATCTGCCACGGACCTGATCTTAATGGGCGGATTCGGGTCTAAAAAAATTAGTTTGGAGCGAGTTGTGAATTTTGACTTTTAGATTCAGCCGGGTTCAAGGCAGGTTACAGATTTTACTATAAACCCGCCCTACCCCGGACCTGGACTTGAACCCAGATATTTTAATATTTATTATAATTTGTTCATATTTTTATATAATAAAAATTATATTATTTCTTTATTTAAAAAAATTTAAATATAAAATAGATACCTTAATTTTAAATCAAATTTATGTTTGTATTTGTTTCTTCTACAATTCTCTTTATAATCGGGACTACTGCTAACCGTCATCACTACGGACTATTGTTAATATTTGATTTTTTTTATTTTTAGAACTATAATTCTTTGGTAATTTAATGCATACTTTTTTTTTAGCATTAAATTATTTTTAATAAATTTTATTTTATTTTTTTCTTAAAAAAAAACAAGTTTTTCGGATTGGCCCCGAACCTCTTGGGGCCGGGTTGAAGCGGGACGGGGCGAGTCTTGAGTCCTAATATTTTCTAGCGGGGCGGATCCCAGGCGGCAAAACTCATCCGGAATCCGCCCATTGATATCCCTATATATGGGTAAAACTATAAGTCTGTCTTTTTTGTTAAGAATTTTAGGAAGATTTTTTTACTCTTTATTAAGATTTTTCCTTTGAAAAATTAAATCATAATATTAAAAATTAATTTTATATTAAAAAAATCACATTAACATCTATTTATATCACATTGGACAATTTTTTTTCATAAGGTTTTATATTCTAGTACGAGTGATTTTGATTCAAAATATTCTATAACTACTTTAGTCATCCGTTGTTGTTGTTTTTTTTTTTTTTTTTTTGATTTATAAGAGCATCTCCAATGCAACATCAAAAGTAACGTTGCAGCTCCATATTTAGAGATTTTCTTTTCCAACGCAACACTATTTTCATCACCATTTTTGGTGTTTGCTACTGTAGCAACGCCAATTATGGTGTTTTTCTATTTATTTTTTTAATTTTACAAATTATAAATTGGTCTCTACAAAGACTATTCTATAATTTTTTATATTTTAATTGTATATATTTTATTTTTTTAATATAAAAAGTTGTTTAAAATAATATATAAAATAATATATTTAGAAAATATTTTTTTGGAGTTAAAAATAGAGTTGTGAATTGAAGTTAAATTATTGTAGCAACTGTTATAACTGCATAAATAGATATGTCCGGTTGGAAATGGCCTAAGAGTTTCTCCAATTGAGTGCATTTTTCGCTAGTTTTACAGGGTTAGAGAAAGAAAAAATACTCCAGTGTAGTGTAGCGTTATGCCGGTTTAGGAGAATAATTTTTTCTATTTTTAAAATTTTACTTTTAATAATAAATTAATTCAAAATTATTTTGTCGATTTTGTTTTATTATTTATAAGATAATTTGTTTTTGTATAATTATGTTTTATTTCGCAATTGATAATTATATCAAATTATATATTTATCGATATATTTAATTTTTATTGATATTTATAGTTAATTAATTATAATAAATTAATTATAAAAAAAATAATGAAACACGACAATAATTATATAAAAAATAAGTGACATTAAATGGAGAATAATAAAAAGACTCGATAAATTATTTTCAGGTGAATTTTTCATTCTTTTACGCATATGTTTTTCCTTCTTTTGCTTATAATAAGCATAAGTAGTAAGATTAGTGATGATATTCAAATCAACTTATATAACCTTATCTTCTTTTTTTAGCTTGTGCGGTTTCAATTTTTTGTTGGAGTTTAGTATTAGTAAAATTAACAGCACATGCTTCTTCTTTTTTCTTTTCAACTTTGATTTTTTTATACTGACTAGTTGTTTGTGAGAAGAATCATGAAGCTATTATTCAAATGAAACGATCCATATATGACTGAATTCGTTTTCTTAGAAAAATTTTATAATTTTTTTTTTTTTCCATTATGGTCTTAAAATTTTTCGATTATTACTTATAATTTCAAAATTGTGATCAAATTGAAATTTTTTTTTAGACCCTGATGGATGCTTTTTGAATATATCTATCGTCATAATCATCTGCACGAATTAATAAATATTACGTAAGATATTTTGATATAAAAAGTATAAATAAAAATAATCATATTTATATATTTACCGTATCAATTTCATATGATCTTTTGCATTTTTAATACAATCAAGAAAAAAATCGATCATCTAACTAATTCAGGGTGTGATGGTACACAACCTCATGTTCATTATCCTTCTTGTTTTACTCGTTGAATGTATCAACGGTTCATTTTCAAAATACTTTCTTGAATTGACCTCTATCTATAGCTGCATCTTGAGTGAACTAAAAAAATGGTGTACAATAGCTTATATTCCTCGTAACTATATGCAATAGTATGTTTAGACACGACTATTATATTTACGTGGTGTGAAAGTGAAAGTGAAAGTGAAAGTAAGAAGAAGAAAAAATGTGATTTTGGATCGATTTGGAACACAAACCTGCAAAATAAAGATTTTCAACAGAAACTATTAGCGGATTACAAAATTAAGCGATTTTAAGAATCTAAATAAAGAATCAAGAAATTGGAAACAAGAATTTGATCGAAGCAGTAGGCTCGAATTAAGCTGGAATAAGGTTGAAAAGAACCCGGACCGATGGACAAAAATCGAACTAACTAAATTGGATAAAGGTTGAAAAAAACCATCACAGAAGAACACCCAGAACATCGATTTCACTTGGTGCCTTAAGGAATAGAACATACGCTTATATATAGAGGATGTGGGAAGAAGATAACCACCCAGAAGTTTAGGGATATAAGCAAATCTGTTGAGAAGACGATGGGATCGGAACAGACAGAATTCAAATAAGGAGATTCAAACTTGGTTTTATCGCATCGGTGTAGAAACAGATTTGGGGGAATTGTGAACCAGTCTAAACTGATGGGGGAGAATCAGAATCAGATTATATTTTGGTGGATCGGGTCAGTTCACAAATCGAATCTTATGGGTTAGACAAAATACATACCAACAAAACAAATTGTAATGAAGTTAAGAAATAATAAGAAAGTTATGTAATTAAATTATAGTGTTTATAAATGACTATGATCACTGTTTATACGAGAAATTTGCAAAAATTAAAATGAATGAAGTTGAAAGTTGGATTAAGTACAATATTAATTTATTGATGTACTATATGGTTGAGACACCAAATCATATGTTTCAAATTTTTTTTATACTTTCATTTTTCGCCACTAAAATAATGACATGTGCCGGAGAGAAGATAGGAAGAGTATTTAATTCGATTTTATATATTATTTTATTTTATTTTTATTACTTAGTTATTTTTAAAAATATAACAAAAAGTTATAATCAATCTTAATTTATATTCAGCTTTTTTATTATATATTTTATGATTGTTATAAAATATAATGAAGTTTTTTTTTTCCTTAAAATTTCATACTTAGAGTTAAATAAAAAATTATACAGTACAAAATAAACTTTTAAAAAATACTATTATATATTTAATTTTAATTTTAATGACATTTTAATTAATATTATATTTTAATGACTTTTTAATTAATTTTATACTCTCTCGGTCCCAACAATACTTATACATATTTTGTACTTAATTTTTAAATACCAACAATACTAATATTATTCCTTTCATCCCGTAAGAAGAATACCATAGGCTTTTTGCATGTTGATATTTTAATATTAATTATTATATCACTACTTTAAGTACAAATAAAGAGAAACTGACAAAAATATCTCTATTAGCATCTTATAATATAAATACAATGATATTCATAGAGTAAATTATACAAATATAATATTAAGTACAATGACGCAAAAGACAAATAATATCTTTTAATCCACACAACTTAAAATACCGTGTCCTTAATCAAACAATGTTACCAGGTATGGAGGGAGCATATTTTTATAAAAAGTTTTTAAAGTAGCATGATAAATGATGAAAAACTATATAATATATACCCGTCCGCCTTTAAGGTCACATTTACTTTTTACGCCATTAAACTTAATATTAAAATATATTTATATTTGTATAATTTTTTGTACAAATGTTCTTCTATTAATATTATAGACACTAATTGAAGTATTTTTGCGATTTTTTTCTTAATTTGTATTACGTTTTGATATAATAATTAATATTTAAAGATTAATACGAAAAAAAAGTAAATGAGACCTTATAGTCATACGGAGTTAGTATATAACTTAGAATACAAATTGAGAAAAAATAATTTTATTAAAAAATAAAAATTGATTTCATCAGTTTTATTGTAATTTGAAATTGATTTAAAATAAAATTTTTATTTAAGGATGTGTTTCTCCAGCCCAGTTTTGGCTGAATTACTGTAATCCAGGCCAAAACTGGGATGAAGAGGTTTTGCAGATAATAAAATTTGTAATAATTATAGTTTAATAAAATATATACCATATAGTATATTATTTTTTTAGAGAATAAAATTTTTTATAATATAAATAAATAAAAATTTAGAAATATATATGTAGGTATAATATAAATTTATAATCAAATTATACAAGTTATACACATTTATATTAGTATATTCGTCACCATCAAATCAATACACATCAAAACTCTCCAAACCCAACCCAAACATAAACACAAAAAAAAAAAAAAAAAAAAAACACATAAATTCAAACCAACCTCGAAATTCAAATAAAAATCAAACTTAAATCCAAATTTTCCCAAAACTCCCTAAAGAAACACACTCTAAATAATATTTTGATATGATATTTTGTGAAATAAAATATTTTTATTGTAAATTAAGTAGTCATACTTTCTATTCGATATTAAAAACAAACACTTTTTAAAATTATTTATAATTTTTACTTTTTATAATACTGCTTTATAATTTGTGTGAAATGCAAAAACCACCATATTCAATTATTATTTAAATAAAAGATAAATATTAAAATTTTAAAAAATAATAAACCTTTGAAATATAATATAAACATTAAACTTAAATATATAATATTTCAAAAGTTAATGGAGTTTAGTGAATTAATTATTGTGAGTTATCATATTTTTTACTTCCGCTATCTAATTTATGAGCATTCTTTTTATAGTTACAAATGAAATGTGGGACGAAGTATTATTATTATTATTATTATTTTATACTCCCTCCGTCCAGCTAGAAAGTATACATATTTTTATTTAAGGATGTCCAATTATAAAGTAAACATTTCATTGAATACCTTATTCTTTTTTCATAAATACTCTTAATTTACATCTATAAAGTAAACATTTCATTGAATACCTTATTTTTTTTTTTCTATAAATACCCTTACTTTACATCACATCATTACTTTTACACGGCAAAAATATCATTACACTACTTTTAACTACCCACTATAATTAAAATACTATTAATTTTTAAACACCGCACTAAAAGTAATTGTATACTTTATGAGTGAACGGTGAGAGTATTTTTTTTTTTGTTAGTAGTGTTATTACTTATTAGTAATTTTAAATATTTATTGATTTTTATAATGGATAATAACTATTTAGATTTAGTAAATTAAAATGTCTAATACTAGTACATTTTAATTGTAAATTGAAGAAAAAAATATTTTATTTAAACATGACAAATGTTTTATGAACTTATTTTATTGAAACCAAAAAAGTTAAATATATTTAATTAAATTTAATTTAATTGTTGATTACATATAAAATTACCTCTTTTAAAGTGGAGATTAACATGAAATAGAATTTGTCTAATTAAGCAGTTATTTTAAAATAAAAATCACCCCATTAATATTAATGATTAAGTACAAATAATATATACACAACAAATAAACATTTTTAATTTCAAAAAAACCAATGTAAGATAAAAATATACTCCCTTCCCTTCCCTACGTCCCATAATAAAGTATCAATTTTTTCATTTTAGTTCGTCCATAACAAAATATCCATTTCTTTTTTTTGTAACTGTACTATCTACCTAACATTACAAATACCCTTACAACTTACAATATATTACACAAATGTCATTACCTTTATATCACACATACTAATAAGGTTATTTTAGTCATTTCTACTTTATTCATACTATATCCCAATATAATACTAATATTTCTAAAACTACGTACAAAAAGCAAATGGATACTTAGTTCTGGGACGGAGGGAGGATATGAATCGAAAAAATATTTAGATAAAGAGCAAAAAACTATAGTTAATTAATTAAGATCTAAATAATATATATATGCACAAAGTAGAATGTGTTTAATAATTTTACATTCAGAACATGCATATAAATATGTATTTATATCATATCAAATAATTATTTCAATTTAAAATTTTACCCCCTCCGTCCTATATATTTTGGGTCTATTAGATAAAATATAATTAGTAAGTAATTAAAAAGTGTATTAGTAGAAATAATTATTATTTAGTAAAAGTAATTATAGATTAAGATAAGTAAATAGTTTAATTAAGATTAAAAAAATTATAAAATTTAAAATAGGATTAAAGTGGATAATCATATTGGACAAATTGCGTGAAATAGACGAAAATAGAAAATATTGACAAATTATATGGACAAAGGGAGTACTATTCAAAATTAAAATTCAAAACTCATAAACAAAGATACCATAGGCAAAGTACAAGACACAACTATCTAAAAAATATACTCCCTTTGTCTACCAATTATGTGCTTATTTAACCGGACACAAATTTTAAGAAAAATATTTAAAAGTAGAAAATTTTATTTTTTTGGGTAAAAAAAATAAAAAATGGAAGAAGTGATATTTTCTTTTTACTAAAAAATGACATAAGAATAAATATATATGACAACCAAAAGATGTAAAAATAAATTTGAACGACGGAGGGAATACATAACTTCGAGATGAGAGAGGAAGTAGAGAATTTTAAAATTAATGTATTCACTTTATATTTTTTGGGCGAATATTATTTACATTAAGTATAAAAAAACTATATGGGAGTATATCTATTATATTTTTTATAATATATATTATGAATTATGTTAAAAAGAAAAAAAATTAAAATTGGATGAAGACACTCTAAGATTGATGGTTATTGAAAAGAACTTACAAAGAGAAATATATATATATATATATATACATGATATGCAGGTTAGTGCGTGTATGTAATATTATACCGGTAGGTCAGGTCTCCTGTACTCCTCCCTCCTCCTGTAAGATGGATAGATAGATCTGTGCTGGTTGGGACTTCTTACTATCATATTCATAATTATTTCTCAGCTATCCATATGTGAGACCTGCATTGCATATGTGTAATGTGTATGTAATGTATCTATAAATAAAGGGGCAATGCAAGGCAAGAAAAGGCAAGTATATATATATATATATACAATACATACGATGTGTGATTTCCATTCGTTGCTGGAGTTGATGTTGGCAGGCGAAGAGTGATGTCGGAATATGTGGAGGAGCACCGCCGCATCCAACGCCGCATACTCCAGCTAACCAATCATATCAATAAAAGATCAAAACTGTATGTATCTATGTATATATGCATCTATATGTGATCTACTATCAGTCCATCTGCATGTATACATCGACGACGCACCTGGTAATGGCTCAGCGGCCGTTGCTCCCAGTTGCTATTTCGCCGCGTCTTGTTCAAACCAATTCCCAGTATTTTCTATGGATAATAATGATGAATCAATCCTTATCATTAAATAGCATACATTTAATTAAACTGTTGGATCTATATGTATAAGTTTACCTCAGTCAGTCCTGAAAGGCCACCCCTTGGTTCTTTGAACACGTTCTGGATGTCGAGCAGCATCTCAAAGTGCTTGAAACAACTCAATTCTCCATACGAATGGGATAGCTGCTTTACGTCGCACTGGAAATTGTAGCCTGCAATTAAAAAGAAAAATTCATCAAATACCAGGGATCTCTGGAAGGGATGGGAGGGACTGGAGGAGAGGCTACAGGCCACTGAGTTAATCGTACCCAGTTTTAAAATACTCGGGGATTGTAATATCCGGGCAAGGCACTTGTCTAGGATACTCGGGACATCCTCATACAGCCTGATCAGGTCTAATATATAGACCTTCTCCTCTGAGGCAATTTGCATTATGGAAACCTGTGAGTAATGTAATGTAATACATGTCATGTTTAAGGGACTGCAAATTTCATTACTTTAGACTAACAAAATTTGTGGTTGTCATTACTATTTGATGACCAAGATTACAACAAATCTCCATGTATATTGTGGTAATTTAAATTATAGGATAAACCTTTGTAGAGCATGGAGAAATTTATTTATAAGATACAGAGGTTAATTAGTAGATGAGAATATAGTGTTGATAGAAAGATGCTTTTGGGGAAAAATAAGGTTGGTTAAGGTAATGAAACAATTGGACTCAAAAGACTTGTTTGAGATTACCTTACTTGGTTTGCTGCCCTTTTCATAATTAGGCTTCCATTCGCAGTCAACTCCAACCACTTTGCACTCCTCCAAGTGGTATATCGCATCGCGCAAACTATTGACTTCATCAACCCAAAACACATCCTTAATGGACAGTTCATGAAGGTTCAAGTACCGGCCCTGTGTAACATTTGAGTCCGGCTCTGAAAAATAATGTAATGACATTATTAGACAGTAATAATCAACTGAGAAAAACAAATCGCATTTTCCCCAAAGATACCTTTCTGAATTGAGAAGCCTTCGAGTGAATATCGGCTGCAGAGCTCCTCCACTTTTTCAGAATAGCCAGCTTCCATTGCTAAATAAACCTAAAACATACAATGAGACAACCAATCAAATGCTTATTCACTCTGCTCCATTGATTTGAAAAGCTAACATTACGGGCACAATTTAACCATCTTCTACCTACCAAATATTCGAGAAGTTGCCGATCGCTTTTAGCTCTTGCCTCTGCCACATCCCAGACACCTTTTTCTGCTAACTTCTTTAGTGCGCTGTAATCAAACACACGATTTTCAGCATAGAATCAAGAAATAATTCCTGGGAAAATAAGCAGAAAGCACCAACCTTTCTTTGCCCTGATGATAGAGTTCTGGGAATTCCTGGCGCAGATTGTGATTCTTTATAATATCATATGCAGGTTTCAACAGCTTCTGTTTAACATATTCCTGGACAAGCAGGCATAACATTGGCTTCCCCATATACGTCGCCCACTTCTCTGCTGCTTTTAGTTGCCTGCACTCCAATATCTTTAGCAGAAATGACTCTCCCGACTGATGGATAGAGAAGTGTGTCGACATTTCAACAGCCGTCATGTATGACTGGAGTTCTATCAGCTTGAAGACATACTGCTCAACCACTTCGTTTGCCGTTTCCTTTCCAAACCTTGTCCTCAAAGATGGACGATTGCTCATCACCTTATCAATGTCAGGTAACTTGACATCAAAGACCTGAAATGTCTTGATTAGAATCCCTTCATCATGAGACAAGGTACCGTCAATGATGTCCAGTAATAACTCAGCGGCACAAAGCTTGGCCTTCAATAAGTCTTCATTGCTGTTCGCTACTTTCAGGAAACGACGGAGAGCAGAGAGTACCAAATGGCTGAACCCATCGCAGTTTGATTCAAACAAGGGCAATATGTAGAGGCAGCGGGCAACTAGAATTGGTGGTCCGTTAACGGAGTTGTTGGTGAAAACAAGATATAATTGCTGCTGTAATGCACGAAACTTCACTGAGGCTTTATACGTTCCTGTCAAATTAGCAAGTTCTCTTTAATAAATAAATCACAAATCATCATTACATGCCGAAGACAATAGCGGAATTTGGAGGTAAGGACAGAGTTATGGTCTTGGTCATAGATATAGACCCGAGTTATAACTTCGGTGGCTCTAACTTTCTATTAATTAGTTGACCATAAAGATAATTGAACCTATGGAATGAACAATACTTGCGGACTTACAGAATTATGAGAATAGAAATCAGGACTTACCATAGACATAGCATTCTTTTAGAAGATACAAGAAGACCAGAGGAGAAACATGAGAAAGATCAAAGAAAGCGTGCTTTGACATAGAAGTTTGTGTATTTATCGGAGTTTCACCCATCCTCATGGTTAGAGTGAAAAACCTACAAAATAGATGTACAAATGTCATAGGACTAAATGATAAGATACCACAGGCATGCATGGGTGTTAGTTAAACTCAAAAGGAAAATAAATGCTAACTCAAGTTATAGTTTCCAATGATTGCTTAAATTCAAAACCAAAATGTTCAACACAGCAAAGACCATCCAAAAACCTCAATCCCTGAAACAATGCCATAAGGGTTGCATTTGGACCTATAGAATCTTCAGCTGCACCCATCAAAGTTATGCGCATACATATCAAGTAACTTTATGGATCTAGTGGTTATCAGAAAGTGTTATTTTGGAGTTCCGTTTTGGTTTTTGGTTTGAATATTGGTTTTGATGTGATGTTTACGAGAAGAAATAGTTTTATTTTTTTATTTTTTAATAGAGAACTGCAATGGTTACGTGGTAAAAAGAAAAAGAAAAAACTGAAAACCAAACTCCTAAAGAAGACACCCAGATAATCTAGAAGATGAGAGTTGGCAATCTAAATATATTGCAAACAATTTGTTTGATTGAGCAGATTACAACACACACTGATCCATGATTTGCCAATTCCAATATAGAGTAATAAATTTGGTTTAGTGCATGTGCTTTGCACAAAGAAATTTAACAAATTTGAAAGCAATGTCAAGTACCACTCACCTACCTTGCATGGTATTTTACAGACGGATTAACAAGAACTGTAAGATAGGTTTAATCAATTATCTGGCCCGAAACAAAATTATCATTTGAATCATTAAAGACATTCCAGCATGAATTTTTTCGCTCTGCTTTTAAATCAGATAGTTGTAATCAACAAATATGTGCAATATAACAGTTCTAACAGCCAAAAGCCACATCCATTAAGACAAGCCACATAAATCAGTATAAAAATGTCTCGAATACTTATACATACATCCAAGAGAAGACAGATTTCTTAAATGCTATGCCAAAATCCAGAAGGCGTGCTTGCATTTCCTAAACTCTATTGTCACTTAAGATCCTCATCAGCTACAAAAATAGTAATCCCATAGTCTTAACTCAAAGCTTCAAGAACTAACATGGATAATGGAGACTATGAAAACTATGCAAAATAACTTAATGAGATGCTAGGTCCTTACAAATTTCAAGGGCGGATATTTCATAAAATTCATTTACAGCAAAATAGGCCACAAAAGTTTAACAGCCACAGTGTCACATAGAAACCAACTTCTGCAAACTTATTAAACATTGTCACAGTAGCAACTTCAAATAGATCTCTACCTATATCATAACATAACCATTGCAGAATGTAACCACAAATATATTATTCTGCAATAAAGATATTAGAATCAATCATTCGTTGGCTATGCATTAATGAACTGTTAGCAAACATCCTCAAAGAAACAACAACATATGTTCACCATCTAATCCCAGAAACTTACAAGATCTCTCCTAGACAAACAAACTCAAGAGAAACTGGTAAAAGTAGGATAAAAAAGATAACATGAATATGTGTTACTACAATTCATCAAAGGATAATGCAAATATAATAGAGACTGGACAATAAATTAAATAAAATACACAATAAATGGGGGGGAAAAAAAAAATCTAGACTACCAAGATATACGTAGAGCATGATGATTTCAAGAGTCAAGTTCCGAATCATATCATCGATGATTACAAGATTGAAAAGGTCCCGTAAAACTAATCAGACAAGTCAAAAACTGGAAACGAAAACAAGAAACGCAGACAAAGTCGAAGAAACAGTTGAAAAAACACCGAAAAGAACAGGAAGAATTAAGCGCTGACAAATTCAATGCGAAAAAAGAGCAGACCAAAACCAAAAGAAAAACAAACTCCTCAAATTACATGAACGCGTATCTACTGAAAAACTTACGAAGGAGGAAATTAATGCTCCGAACGAACCAAAAAGAAGGGCCGTTTCGGCAATGCCACGATACCACCTTCGGCAGCAAATAGAACAGTATGTATGTATTCGCAAATGCACAAACACACTGTATACAAGCCAATACCTATTTCGGTAAACTCCTCAAATCACGATTATGTGATTTTCTGCTCCCCAAATTGCTCAACTAATCAAACACAGCTTTAGGAATAAACAAACAGACGACACGACGGAAAGAAGAATCGTTAGGCATTGTCAGAGGAGCAAAGGGAAGATTGTCGGCAGTAAAAACATAGCAGCGATGCCGCCATTTGTGTTTTTATTTTTCATTTTATGTTATTGTATTTTCCTTCTCTCTCGTCGAAACGGTCGAGGGTAGGGGCGGCGCTAATGTGCGCTGGGGGCGTACTCAAGGGGTATTTTGGTCATTTCATGAATTCCCCGTGAAAAGGGATAAGATTTGGTGACTCTGGGCTTTTCTTATAATAATGACAATGTTATAAAATAAGGATATTGTAAATAAGTTAATTAAGTCAACGAATACAAGTTTTTATATTCATTTCTTCCCACATAATTTGTCCACATTTTTTATTTTCGTTATTTCCACATAATTTGTTCATTCTTTTTTAGAAATATAATTATACACTTTAATCTTATAATTTTTTAATCTTAATTAAACTATTCAAGTTATCTTAATCTTAATTCACAATTATTTTTTTATATAATAATTATTTTTACTAATACATTTTTTAATTATCTACTGATCATACTTTACCTAAATTCTCGTAGAAGACATAATAAATGGGAAGATGGGAGTATTTAATTAGGAATTTGGATATTTTTTTGATTAATGTGCATTAATTGTTGTTGATTTTTGGGCTATAATCACAATAATTGCAAGATGTGAAATGAAAGCACAAAAATGGAACTGCCATAAACGGGTGGTAAAGGTTATTTTTGTCTTTTTGCAGCCCTGCAGTGCTAGACTAGTACTGTTATTTGGGCTTATTATAATTCTCATGGTCCAATACTGAAATAATAATGTGATCAACACGATGATAATGAAAATTGGTTTGGAAAATCTAGGGTTTGTTTAGATTGTCTCAAACTAAAGTACTCCCTTTCGTCTCGTTGAAATGTCATTATTTTTTATTTTTGTCTATCCCAAAATAAAGTTACTATTTTCTAATTTAATAATTGTACTACCAACTTAACATAATAAATACTTTTTTAATTTACAATATATTATATAAATGTTATTACTTTTATATTACACCATACTCATAGAGGTATTTTTGTCTTTTTTACTACAATTCAATATAATACTAATATTAAAAAATTTATGTGCAAAAAGCAAATATCATCATTCCAATGGACGGAGGGAGTATATGAATAAAAATATTTTCAATGTTTCATAAGAAGACTAATTGTTGTTTGTTGTATGTATATTTTTAATATTATTATTATATTGATCGCGTCAGGGATTAACCCTTTTATTAGGAACACGATTTTTTAGGTAGGGTCAATTAGTAAGTTATTAATAATAAGTTATAATATTAGTTTATTATTTTTTATATGAATAATATTATTGATATTTTAAAAATTTTAAGATTATATCTCGAAAAAATATATGCAATATGGATATCATTTTGTAGATAATAAAATTATACAATACAAATAAATAAATAAATACTTTTTTATTTATTCAAACCATTAATTAGTTTTATAAAAAAATGAGGAGTTTTAAATATAGATAAAAATTTATGTTAATTGATGAGAGATATAGAAATAAAAGTATTTTGAGTGGGTTCTAGGTGTAAGATGTTAGAAGTTTAATTAAATTGATTTATATTTGTTAAGTATGTTTAAGATTGATAAATTTACCAAAAATGGAAATGGGTCATCTTTTGTGGTACGTACAAAAAAGGAAAATGAGTCATTTGTGGCTAGACGGATAGAGTATATTGTAAATTGTAAAAGAATTTATTATATTAGATAAGTAGTATCATGGTTGTCACAGTGCCCTTTTGCAGTGAGGCGCCAGTGGACCGCCATGACGACAAAATAGCGAATACGGCGCACTAGGTATAAAATTAAATATATATATATAATTATAAATATTATAAATCTTTGAAAATCATACATTATCAACTTTCTATTAAAATCTTTAAAGCTTCATATTTCTTAAATCATAAATATATATATATAATACCATAAAAAAACAATTCCAATCATCAAATAAAACAAAATGCTATCCACAAATCTCTAAATCATCAAGTTTAACATCTCAAATTCCAACAATCAGAGAGGTCAAGTCCACCACTACCAAAAATATCTTCTAAATTATCATCATCAATGTCATCATCTAATGATACATCTTCATCGTCTAGTTCTTGCTCCATCAATACCGAAGTTGATGCTTTCTTAGGACGTCTAGAGTATAATTGTATTGATGAACCCGATGTGTCGCCGATATTTCCCTTTCTAGGAATATTGCGACGTTCAAGATTGGCCGACGCACCCATGGCTTCATCAACATGATTTCATGTAAGATCCTCTCCCAAATTCTTCAAACACCAAAAAGATTGAAGTTTCTTCATTCCTCACGCCTCTTTTGGAATATATTCGCAATTTTTCGATTGTATTGAACGAAAACTAAATTGTTCAATCTCTTATGCTCCAATCTATTTCATTTTTTCGTATAAATCTAAAACAAAAAAATTAAAATACATCAGTATAATTTAATGATAGCATTAAGGTTTAATATATTATTTATATAAGTAAGTAAGTACTTACAAATTCGAATGAGCTCCAATTGTATTCACACCCAGAAGATGAACAACAAAGACTAATTATACGGAAGACAAGTGATTGGAGCTTGAAATGAAGGCCTCCAAAAGCATTCCACCTATAAACTAGAATTGTAAAACATTAGAAAAACATATTTAGTTTGACTTTTAAAGAAAATTGAAAAAATAAATAAATATATAAAATAGAAATTATAAAAGTTAAAGCACTTACGATGACTTTTTGCCTTTTGTTGCTTGATAGCCAACTGTTTTTCGAAGCTTCTCCGCATATTATCGTAATCATCAACTTGATCAAAAATATTTGTTTGCAATTCATCATCCGTGATCATTTTTCTCAAGAACATCATTAAATATAGCTCGTGCTTTACGAGCATATGCATTATCACTAACCTCGATATCAAAGTACTTGGAAGGATTAAGAAACAAAACAGCCCCATACAACTCGACTTCGCTAAAAAATAAGCTCCTTAAAGCATCCCTATGCTTATATAAGCTCTGCAAAGTCAAAATTGAAGTAGCAAACAGGGTAGGCCCAAGTCTCACAAGATCACTATCGTCCGTCTTCTCCCACATTGCGTTAAGGAGCCTTACGTACTTATAGATAAAGGTAGTAACTCTGTTTGCATTGCTAATGTTTGCTCGGAAAATAGACAATTTCCTGATATCTTCCAACATAAGATTAAGGCAATGAGCTGCACAAGGAGTCTAATATAAAATAGGTATAGGTTGCTCTAATAATTTACCCGCTGCATTGAAATTAGCACCATTGTCCATTTCTACCTGAACCACGTATTCTTTGTCAATTTCTTCAATTTTTGTCTGAAGTAAATATGCCAATAATGATGCAACTTAAGCTTTGATGCATCAATCGACTCAAAAAAAAAAAAAAAATGTACCTTCCGGGCTATTGACAAGGAAATTAATCAAATGTCGTCCTCTTTTATCTGTCCACCAATAAGCCATAAGTGAACAACCGTATTGCTTCCAAACAAACATGTTTTTCCTTCAGTGTTTGTGTCCTTTTCACCTCCTTCTCCAAAAGAGGAACTCGTAATTCATGATAACTTGGACCTTTTACACCGGTCCCATATGTCCCGCCGACTCAATCATTATCTCAAAACTTTGAGACCTTCCCACATTAAATAGTATGCCATTTACATAAAAAAAAAAAAAAATTGGCAATGTGTTCATGAAATCTTTCGATCTCCTCCTTGCTCCTTATACACGCCTTTAATGTTCTTTGAATTTCACTACTCGTTTTGCTATCCCTTTTCTCAATAACTTCTTCCGGGGTTTTTCTAAACATTGAGGCAACTGACTTGTTTTCTTTTTCACCTTGTGATGAAATTGATGGAAATTTTAGAATAGATTGCGAATACTTCCTTTTGCTCAAGGTACCAGAACCAGGATAAGAAACTGAGTCGTGCGATACCCCTTGTCCTATTCCTTGCACATTCACATCAACATCGTCGTCAACGTCGCGTCGTCATCTAACTCAGCATGACTGGACTTCTTTCTTACCATCTTTTTCTTTAGAAACTCCCGCATCTCATTTCGAATTTCTTCAATAGTCTTTGGACACTTTTTTACATCTCCACAATTTCCAAGCAAGTATTTTTTCAATCGTTTTATTCCTGATCTTACTTACATATGGCAAAACAAACATTCTACCACATCTTTATTTCCCAAGTCTGGCAAAAAAACATATTTCCAACCCAGATTATTTGATTTGGCTTTTCTTTTTGGATCCTAGGATGGGTACAACGTTGATGCTTCACTTTCGGCCATAACAAATTATATTCTATAAATATTTATATATCAATATGTCAAAATAATACAAAATAAATAAAGGATTTGCTCTATAAAATGAAAAAATATGATACAAAATAAAATAAATAATATTATTATGTTAACAAATAAAAAATATATAAATAGTTAAATAAATATCACTAAAACACTAACTAATAATAGTAATATAATATATACATTATACAGTTAACTTAATATAAAAATAAATTAATAAAAAAAAAGCTGATATAAGCCACCGATTCCGTGCGATTCCGTGAAAGAAATCAAAATTGAGATTCGACTCACCCAAATATCAAAGATGACCAATGTGGTATTGAGCGGCAGACTGGAGCGGCGGATAGTGGAGGAAATTAGCAGAGAAAATTTACCAACACAGCATCGGCGGAAGAGAGGCAACAAAACAATACAAATTGAAAATATTTCAGAAGGGTTTTATATTTAGACTGGTTCAAGTCCAGTTCAGGTAGGTTTGAGCCTTCAATCAGGTTATGGCTTGGTTTGGGCTAAGGCCATGGCGTCGCCATACCGCCTAATGCGACAAGGCGGGACGGTGAAGCCTGACACTCCCCAAAGAGCGCCAGGACGCTGTGACAATCGTGGGTAGTACAATTATTATATTAAGAAACGATACACTATTTTAGAATGAATATAAATGAAACGATAACATTTTTATGGGACGGAGGGAGCATATTATTTCGTCTAAAAAAAAAGTATTATTTAA